GCTTTTTTGGTGGGATTGTTGGAAAAAGATGTTTAGAGAGTTCTCATAGGATGATTGTGTAATGTTTAAGTACTGTTGTGCTTTGAGGAGCACTATGAGGTGGGAATTTTGTGTTGATTGGTGCTGGTTTGCTGCAGCCCATGTGGCACGGTGTTTTCATACAGACAAGCAATTTTATCTAGATTCTAAGTGGATTTTATTTTATTTTTTTCTTTTGTTATTGTTGATGTTGATAAGATGTGCTTATTGTCTTGTCTGTTCCAGAGCAAGTGATAGGTTGAGCTTGAGGAAGGTTTCAACCAAGTATATGCAATGGAATGCTGTGGTTCCCAGAGCATTTATGTCGTCAACTGTCAGCAGCGAGGCTGTTCGCGAAAGTAAAGTCTCGAAAGAATATGGATCGGAACAGATTCAGGTGAATTGCTGGCCTTTGATGAACAAGTAAATGTGTATTGTGTTTGCCACTTAGTCATGGTTTGAAATCTCTTTCCTTGCTACTTGTTAGCAGATTTTGACAAAATAAGTCTTTTTTTTTGTTCCTCTTTTCTTTTTCTTTAAGGTATTGGAAGGTTTAGATCCTGTAAGGAAACGACCTGGAATGTACATAGGAAGCACTGGGTCCCGTGGTCTTCATCATCTGGTGTGTAATTTGTTCCCTTTGTTTTGATTATTTACTGGCAATTTATTGCAAGGTTAAGGAGAAGTGGTAAAGTTATGTTGATTAATCTGTCTACAGGTTTATGAAATCCTGGATAATGCCATTGATGAGGCACAAGCAGGATTTGCTTCAAAAATTGATGTTATTCTACTTGCAGATAATTCAGTTAGCATCACAGACAATGGACGTGGAGTATGTTCCTTTATGATTACTCTGTTGTATAGATTAGACGAATTTTGTGTTGTGTACTTTGCGAGCATGCTACTTACTCTAGTTAATCTGTAGTTGTGTTAGAATCATTTTCATATTCTGACATTGCTTATTTGTACTCTGCAGATCCCAACTGATTTACATCCAACAACAAAAAAGTCTGCTTTGGAGACTGTGTTAACTGTAGGGGATTATTATTATTATTATTATTATTATTATTATTATTATTATTATTATTATTATTATTATTATTATTATTATTATTATTATTATTATTATTATTATTATTTTGTTTTGGTAATTTTTGTTGTAAGAACTTTAAAAAGATGTTGATTTAATTCCTGAAAAGGCAGTTGTCTTTGATTTAATTCATGAAAAAGATGTTGATCAAGGCCTCTACTGTCATGGAAGTTTTTTGTTATCGAATTGACTATTTTTTTTTATGTCTGACTGTTGGCAAAAGTGTTGCTATATAAGTGAAGCATTATTGCAGGTTTTGCATGCAGGTGGGAAGTTTGGTGGTTCGAGTAGTGGTTACAGTGTTTCGGGTGGTCTACATGGTGTGGGTTTATCAGTTGTTAATGCGCTGTCTGAGGTTTCACTTCTTGATCATTAACACTTCTAGCTCTGTAGTCTTCTCTATTCGTTTTTTCTTGTTCATTACACGGTGCGTTAGTTTTGCCATGTTTGTTCTATGATAAAAAATTACATTTCTTGATTTAAGTCATGCCAAGTCTTTTGACTTGTTGTACATTTCTCATAAATCCTCTGATTTCAGGTATCTATGTTATGAAGTCTGCTGTTAGTTGCTTATGGTGCCATAATATTTTCGAACATATAATCTTTTACATATTTTTCGTGTTATTTTCAAATGGCTTTTCATCCTTGTCTTTGATTGTGGACAGGCCCTTGAAGTTACTGTGTGGCGCGATGGTAAGGAGTACAAGCAGAAATATTCCCGTGGAAGGCCTGTGACAAAGTTAGTCTCTAATGAGCTTCCAGCTGATACGAGAGACCGTCAAGGGACTCGCATACATTTTTGGCCTGACAAAGAAGGTCAATCCTTCTTTTTTTCTTTTTTAAAATTTTTGTTTTTTATTTTTCTTTATAGTAGACAATTGCTGATGGATCCTGTAAATTGGTTGAATGGTATTCCTCTCGGAATGTGATTCAGTATTCACGACTGCTATTGAGTATGACTACACCACAATTTCCGCAAGAATCAGGGAGCTTGCTTTCCTCAATCCTCAGGTACAGCATTAATTTTCGATCGTTCATGATTCTGCATATGCGAAAATTTCACTTTAATTCATGGGGGTTGATCGTATTTGTCGTATTAGAAGATATTGTGGCTAGGATCTTAAATGAGTTTTAGTTCAGGTTATCTTTTTGGAAAATATATCTCATATTTTTATTTTTTATTTATTTTTTTTTTTTGTTTTCACCTTGACTAATACCCTGTTCTTCGTTACATAAAAGGAGCAGTCTTTGTTCTAGTACTAACAACATATGAGATATTTTCTATCTTTTAGGTCACAATTGCTCTTGAGAAGGAGGACACAGACCCAGAGAAGAGGCTGCATAATGAGTATAGCTATGCTGGAGGATTAGTAGAGTATGTGAAGTGGCTTAATGCCGATAAGGTATGCTTTTTCTTTGTAGTCCAAACAACAAACCTTGTCTAAAGTTTCATTATATTTATTATATTTTGTCATGATACTGTTTTCTTTCGCGCCCCAAGAACTATTGAACCTTGTCATTAGAGGTTTAGGCTGTTTAACTTGCTTTTGCCACCATTTATGTATTAGTGATTAAATAGCAGTTGTTTGATAGGAAAAAAAAAATGCAGTGATGTAGTTTGTGATTACCCTTTGTTCTTCACTATTAAGTGATTTTGCCGAGTGTATTTGGAAATATTTCCATAACTACACACATTCTTGATCCAGAAACCTCTTCATGATGTCGTGGGTTTTAGGCAAGAAGCTGATGGAATCTCGATT